GGTCTAAACATATCTAAACTTAGAAAACATACAGTAACACTGTCCTGCATGCAGTTGGTTCATTGTTGAATGCTACATTGTTCTGCGGTGCACAACTATATACAGAAGACTCTTGCAGAGAGGCTGGGACCTCTGGTAGAACAAAATAGGGAGCATGTTTGGTTTGGAGAACTTGTGTGGAATCACTGCCAGCACGACTGTGAAGGATTCTACAAAGAATTGCTGTTCAATTTAAAAATAATTTCTTTTCTTATTATTACACAAAAGTATGGGCTCATTTTAGAAAATGTAGAATATGTAGGCAAGGAAAATTATAACATTGTTCACTATATCCTTCCCTCTTTTAAAAGTCATATATTATAAAGGCACATATACTGATTTATGAAGTTTATGTTATTTTACATGGAATCATGCTGTTTAGCAACCTAGGTACTGCTCACTTTTTAAAAATTGCATTAATTTTTTAATAGGGAATACAATCATTTGACTTAAAATTCAAAAGTTTAAAAAGTTATATAGTAAAAATCTCCCTCCCATCCTAGTTCCCAAGTAACCAGTTTCTGTCCAGGGAGGCAACCAATGACACCAGTTTATTTTACATACTTTGGGAGATATTTTATACATATGTACAGAAATATATATATTTCTTATATGTATATTCTTCTCCCACATTTGTACACAAATACAGAAATGTATATTCTTCTTTCACATTTCTACAAAAAAAAAAACATGGAGAAAGTGGTAGAATACTATTATGTTTGTTAGAGGCAGATGAGCTGTGCTAGAGATCTGTTGGAGGAAATGCCTGCAGGCAGGAGGGAAGGAGTGGGAGCCAGAGCAGGTGAGGTGGAGCATCCCACTGAGATGTGGGNCCATGCTCTCCTCATTTACTGGCTATGAGCAGCCCATGGGAAGGATAGCTTTAGGGTGGACGCGGTGGTGGGTTCTGAGAACAGCAATTGGAGGACCCGTCATTTATCCTCCTAGCAACAGGAGATCTGAGTGGAATATCTTCATGGCTGCTACAACACATACACAGTCCTGCACCTTGCTTCTTTCATGTAACAGCAGATTTTTGTAATCGTTTCATATATGTCTTCCTTATTTTTTAAATGCTAATATAGTATTTCATTTTATATATATAATGTTACATGTATTTTTTATATATTTGATATTTGTATATAAGTACACCATATTTTATATGTAGTCCTCTATTTATAGACATTTACATTGTATTCAAATTTTTACTATTACGAACGAAGCTGCGATAAAATAACCTTGTACATATGTAATTTCAGCCATGCACAAATTTATCTCTGGGATAAATTCCTAGAAATGGATTTGAATTTTTAATTTTGAGAGTATTGTCCCCCACAGAGTTGTATCAGTTTTTGTTCCCACTCGTATAAGAGGCAATATACAAGGCAGTGCCGGGTGCAATAGAATCCAATTGGCTTTTTCTCATTTATTCATTCATTCATTGATTCATTCATTCAACATACATGTATATCAGGAATTATCCTTTGGAGGTGTTGGGGAAAACATGGAGAAAGTGGGGCAAGAGACAGGTTGCACACACAGTCCTGATGGGGAAGCCCTGACCCATTGCTCAGAAGGAGGGCTCAGCTGATGAGATTATGTGGCACCCAAGATACATGGCACCCATGTGGAGGTTTAACATGTAAAACTCAGAGGCTCCTGGGAATAAAGTCACATTCCTGTATTCCCTTCTAAACACAAAACAAAAGAAACAAGCAAAAAAATTAATTTAGTATTTTTTTTTATTGCCAAGTGACCAATGTTATTTTAGGAAATTTATAAATTACGAAGGAAAAAAAAAAGAAAAAGAAAGATGAAAGAAAGAAAACAACAATTGTAACCCTCAAATCATTGGGATAATTGAGTATAATCTCTCCATTCTTTTTCTGTGCATAAATGAATAGAAGTTCCTATGCACACACATTTATAGTGTATAGAGTATATATATTATATATATAATTTATACATCCATGTATATATGTAATGTGCACATACACATACAAGATATATATTACATGCATATTTCATAGAAATATGTTTATTACATACAAGAGTTGCAACCTATGAAAACGTGTGCTGTAAACACATGAACATTGCTCCAGCATATATTTGTCTTAAGAGTAACTGTGCTTCATCGTCTCCCACCAGCTGCTCTGCACTCCTGTCCTGTGGAGGGTCTACATCGTCATCATGCTCAGCTCCAATTTCATCGTGTCCCTTGTTGTGGAGGTCAGTGCCCTCAGGCTGCTGATCACTGTGGGTGGGTGGGTGGGTGGAGGGGTGGTTCTTTAGGAGTCTGAAAATGAAATAGCTTCAGCTGACCAGGGCTCCTTGGGTGCTCTCTTCCTCCACAACATGGGCAATGGTGCTTTCCTCTGATGAGTTCCAAACAAGCCACTGTAAAGCGGGGCTGGGGACAAGAGAATTATGATCTCTAAGGTCCTATTCACTTCTAAAATTCCCAAATGGGGACCTAACACGGTTTACTTTTAAAAATTGAGATATGATTCACACATCATAAAATATACCCTTTTAAAGTCCACAGTTCAGTGGTTTGTAGTATACTTGCTGAATTGTGCAACCATCAGCACTACCTAATTTCAGAACATTTTCATCACCCCAAAGAAATCTGGTACCCATTGGCAGTTGCTCCTCATTCCCCCGTCCCCTGCCTCCTACCCCGTGGCAACCCCTACTCGTCTGTTTCTGTGGATTTGCCTATTCTGAACATTTCATATAAATGGAGTCATATGATATGTGGCCTTTTGTGCCTTGCTGCTTTCACTTAACTTGTGTCATTTTCACTTTACAGATGAGAACTGAAATTCATAGTGAGCTTTTTCAGCTGTTATTCTTCAGTTCCCATTTGCTCTGTTTCCTAAGTGAAATGAACTATGCTCCTCCCTTCTTTCTCTATGTGCTTCACTCTCTCCTTCCTCAGTGCTCAGACACAATCTCCATTCTTCAAAGCCCACTGTTGGGCAGGGGGTGCTCCTGAAAAGGTGTCCCTGAGGAAAGAGAGATGAGATGCAGGCTTCTGTCTATTTCTATTCCTGCTCCAAGTTACAAAACTGGAATTGTCCCAGTGCATGAGGCATTCAGGGCAGGCCATGAGCACTTCCAGCCTGACTTCCCTGCAATGTTGTAAGGAAGAGCAGTAGAACAGGAGCCTGGTGAACCTTCCTTACTACACAGAGTAAAGGCTGCACAGGAGCTGGTGAATAATAGGGCATAGAATTAGGATACTGGAGCATCTCTCTCTATGCTAAACCAGAGCTTCTCAAACTTGAGTGGGCATCAGAATCACTTGGAAAGCTTGTTAAACACAGATGGCTGATCCCTACACCTAGCGTGTCTGACTTGGTAGGTCTGAGTAGGTGGAAGAGCTTGCATTCCTAACTGGTTTCCAGGTGATTCCCATGTGGCCAGTTCAAGGACCACACTTTGAGAAGCACTATGCTAAGCCATGTGGACTCCAAAGTGACCATATTAATAAAAGAGCATCACCACGAGTGTCTTCAAACTAAATTGCAGAAAGATGGTTCTTGCTCTTTGGAGGATAATCTTATGTATCTTGCCTCTGCCCATAACCTAAGTATTTCCTCTGTCTAGTACATCTTTCCCCCATGTCTGTGTATTGAAATGCTGTTCCATCCTCCATGTCCGAGCTGTGGTACTATCCTCTTCAAGAATCTTTCCTGGTCCCTGGATCAGTTAGGCAAATAACAAAACTCAATTAGGAGTGGCTTAAACAATTAAAATATTTATTGACTCAACAAGAAGATTGGATGTGGATGGCTTCAGGACTGGCATTGTGACTCAATGGTCCACATTAGGGATCCACATTCTTCCTCCTTTTTGTCCTACTGTCTTTAGATGTGGCCTTTCATGTTTGTGCTTGTCACTTATGGTGCCCAGATAGCTTCCACATAGCTGGATGTTTTATCTATTTTCAGTGCAGGCATAAAATGGAAGAAGAGATGCCAGCAAGCTTTTTCCTCCTCTCAAATTTGAACTTTTTATCAGGAAAGACAGTTTTTCCTGCAGCCCATCAGCAAACTTTCTCTGATGCCTCACTGGTTAGAGCTATGTCTCATTGTCATCCTGAGCAGGAAGGGATTCAGGGAAAGAGAATCCATGAAACAGATTGGCTTAGACCATGTACTTATGTTTTACTTTTAGGTAGGAAGGGAAGAGTCGGGAGGGAATGAGCTGTAGAGTAATCAAGTATCAAAGTCTTCCACGATCCCCTAGCAGGAAACCCTTCCTCTGTCAGTATACTTGCAGTTAAGAGCACAAGGTCAGGGGTAATTGTGGGGTTAGGAACATAGCTATGCTAATTGTATGGCTACGCAATTCATAACTAAAGCCAAAACATTTCATTATTTTAGTTATACTAAGTTTCCATTTGTGCTGTCAGGGCTAGGGCTCAGACCCTTCAAATCCATTCTACAGACTGGGTCACAAACCCCTCACATGCCTGGCTGGGTCATCAGACCCCTCACATGCAGGTCCACACTAGGTAATTGGGAAAGATCCTGGGAGCCGCTGGCAGACGACATGAGCTCAGTCCTCAGCTTCCTCAGCAATAGCAACAGCAACTTACAGGTCCAGCAGTGGCAGCGGTGGCCTCTTGGATGGTCCTGGGGCATTGGCAGCAACAACTTGCAGCAGCAGTAGCTGTGGTGGCCTCCCCGTGGCCCCCTGGGGTGCATCTCAGGGGTGGGGGGCACCGTGGATCAGAGCCACTTGTCCTTTATACTTCAGTCCATAACTCGGACACCTGGGTGCCCACGCACATCTACATCAGACAATAGCCAAGGAACACCTGGGTGCACGTGCATATTTATTTCAAATGCTCGACAAGATTGTGAACATCTGAGGGGCCCTGACCATTTTCCTATATTTTCCCTACAGTAATATACCTGGGTTTGAATCCTGGCTCCACCACTTTTTTGCTGTCTGACTTTGGGCAAGTTACTCTACTTTTCTGTGTCTCTGTTTCATCATCTATAAGATGGTGATAATAATGACACCTTACCTGATTAGGTTATTGAAGTATGAATTGTGAACAGTAAAAATCATATAGTTGGTGTTTAATAAATATGAGCTATTATTATTATATTATCTTTTGTGGCACTTACCATTTCTTACTTCATATCTGTCATTCAGTCATTCCTTTATTCATTCATTCTTTCCATGAGCATTTGTTGACCACCTGCCACATCCAAGGGCACCATGCCAGGGGAACAAGGATGACAGAGGGGCAGAGCTCACAATCTACAGGAAGAAAGGACAAGGACTTTAGTTATTTCTGCATACATTTCTTCTCTTACCTTCTATTCAACTATGCTGGCAAGAACTCAGTAGCTATAGCACCTAAAACCCTGCTTTATGCTAGTAGGAGCTGGGTAAAGATTTACTCAATTATTAAATGTAAGAAGTGACCCTGCTCATCCCAGCAGATGGAGAGGGTAATTTGATGCTCATGAAAGACAGAGTTTCTCCT